AAGCATGAAGGTGTAGGTAAAGATGGAGTACACAGTATTGTTTTATTTAGCTTGGTCCGTTTGTTTTGTTGGAATTTTACTTTTATTTTAATCGATCTACCACTTTCTTAATCTTAATGACCTTTTAAAATAATACATATAAGTACTTCATCTTTTTACTTTAATAGGAAGAAATGTAATGTTGAATTAAATTTCAATGTTATAAGGACATTATATTTCGAAATTAAAGACGAAAATGAAAATAAAATTGATTATCGATGAAGTTTTGGACTCCCTATTTTTTTCGTAGGTATTTGCGGTGAATTTGTGGCCTGGCGTTGAGGGCAAGTTCATGCGTTTTTGCTCTGGCCTTCAAAAGGTTAAACGGCGTGTATCCATTACTGTGTACACCTATGAACTAAAACTGAATAAAAAAGGACCAAAACAAACTAAAAAATTCAATTAGGCGTCAAAGTACTCCTCCGTTTTTCTGTGTCAGTAGCAAATTCTCATGAGTCAGTAGGAAATAACGTCACACGTTAAGGGATATGGAGGGGGTCGACGAAGTGTGACATTGTGTGACAAGGGGGAAGGAGGGATCCTAAACTTTGTAATGTCACATTTCAAAAACTATTATAAAACACGAAATATAATTGTATTAATGTTTTTTATTTTAAATGTTTTGTAATAAAACTGATTTTGGAACCGCTGTTTTCTTTTAATAATTTGTATACATACGTAATTCTGCAAAATGTGACGACACAGTAGGGGGGTTCTACAAATGTTATTAGACAAGGACGGGGGGAGGGGCAAAAAATCATGAAATTTATGGATGACCCCGTATTTTAAATAGGGCTCACTCATTCATTTTTGAAAGACGTTCAAGACCGTGTCTTCTTTCCAGGCATTCACAGTAGACCACCACAGTCTTCCAGAGGAGAGGCAGAAGTATTTGAAGCAGTTGAGAAATGATATCAACCAGCAGAGAGATGCGTTTGATAAGATCAATGTTGAGGTGAGGCGGTATTAATATTAATTTAATTAATTTTACCACATGATTAGTGTTTAAGGGGGTCACAAGCGAACGGTCTGTTAGTAGTTTCGGACACGCCGAGTCGACCAAATTGATTGCTTTCGAATTGATTGAGAATGATCAAAATCCTTTCTTAGCGGATGCCTACGTCATAATATCTATCTGCATGCCAAATTTCAGCCTGATCCGTCCAATGGTTTAGGCTGTGCGTTGATAGATCACTATGTCAGTCAGTCAGTCAGTTAGTCAGTCACCTTTGAATTTTATATATATAGATAGGCCCCCCCATTAATTATGTAAGTTGCAAAAAACACTATTAGGTACGTTTTTATAATAACTATCGTGAGACATACTAAATTAAGTAAAATCGCGGGTTACTCACCAGTAGGGAAACTAGTAGAGCTTTTCTCAGTATATGTATTCACGTGAGTAACCCGCGATTTTAGTTAACTATTAGGTACGTTCAAACACCTACTTATATACTGTCAAGGGCCATGACTTCCCCTATAGTTCTACTCTTTGGCCATGACATCCTCAACTGTCATAAAAGCAGGAGGTTCTCAATTCGGTTCTCTCGGCTCAATTTTTAATGGGATCCATTCTACCAATTATTTTAAGTTTGATATCCAGAATGGAGATTGTGTCAAAAATACTTTGTATACAAAAAATACAAAAAAAAAGATGAAGTACTTATATGTATTATTTTAAAAGGTCATTAAGATTAAGAAAGTGGTAGATCGATTAAAATAAAAGTAAAATTCCAACAAAACAAACGGACCAAGCTAAATAAAACAATGCTGTTTTTTCTGAGAATATAAGCCCTGATGTCAAAATGTATAATATAATTGTAAGACAAATAATTTATTTATTAATCATAGAATATACATATTTTAAGGAGGATCCCACAATCTTGACCGGTCTTCTGTTCGAGTGGCTGGAAGGTCTGAAGCAGCCTGTACTGGACCGAGAGGACCTCTCCCTCATAGTGGGAAGAGCATACAATGTGGAATCGTGTGCTCTGGCGTTGACCATGGTATGATGACAAAGTTTGTATGGACTCTAAACGGTTGCCTCCTTGCCACCTATGTCGTAAGCCTTCTAAGGGATTACATATTTGCCAGTGCTTCTGGTAAACGAACGAGAACTATTTAAACTACGATCTCTTACTTAGGTTAGTTCTATTGTCCAACAGGCGGGTTAGAAAAAGAACTTACCTAGCTTTTCCTCTACGAGAAATTCATCAACAGCCTATAAATGCCCACTGCTGAGCAAAGCCTCTTCTCACACGGACAAGGTTTGAGCATTAATCACCACGCTTACTCAATGCGGTTGGCTATTTCAAACTTATAATTAGAAATTATAAGCCCAGGGTCTCCTCACGATGTTTACCTTGACCGTTTGACAGTGGTGTCTAGTTAATCTTAGAAAGTATAAATAACTCGAAAAAAGTCACATTGGTACTTGCCGTTGGTAGGTTTCGAACTCGGACCCTAATGCATGAGAAGCAGGCGTCTTAAATTACGAGAAAGTACCTATAGCAAATGATTAAAAGTAGAAGAGGTCCATAAGTCCAGCTGAAGACTGATACGAGTTATCAATGTTCAGATGTTGTATACGTGTAGTTATGAAGGTAAAGTTAATTAAAATAGTCCTCAAAGTAACGAACTACAAAAAATGGCAAAAGTGTAACCAAGAATCTCCCTAAATATTTTAAACGCAGTCATTCCTTTTTTTTAAACGTTTCCCGACACTAGGATATTCTCCTGTGTCGTGGGTGCGTTTACACACATACTAGTGTATGCGACAATGACACCCAGACTCGGAACAACAATCTGTGGATCACATAAATAGTTGTCACGTACGGGAATCGAACCCGCAACACGTTGTGCGGCAGCCAGTTGCCTAGCCACCGCTTTAACCGTACAGTCTGTCAGAAAGATCTGTTTCAGCGCCCATTTTAACCCCTTATTTTCGGTCCAGGAGGACATAATGCTAATAGAGTATCTCCTTCGCTTCGTGACTCGACTCCGGCCGCTCGCTGCCAACAAGAAGGTGGACATCCTCAAACGTCTGCTCGCGTCCCTCACGCATCAGACTGTCAGCGTCAATGGACGATGTCTTCCTACACGAAAGGTGAGATATTTATGTATCTATTAATTCGGATAATAATCTATCAATTCGGAGTTGCGGCGAACCTAACGGGTAACCGGGGCTCCGGCTCGACGTGCAGGAGAAGGAACGGGGTGGTTTTTAGTCAGTAAGAGTCTGACACCCCCTCCCGCCTCACCCAGGCGGGAGCAGACATTCGATAATTTTCACCCCTAAAAAAAAAATAGGTAGATGTTTTGTTAGTGTCAGGGTCAGATTGGTCCAGGGAATAGCTCACTGACCCGGGGAGCCAAGTGGAGTAGAAGACAAAGGATTCCTGTTTTTTTCTCTTTTTGGGAAATTAAGCATTTGCGGCTACCGGGCAAGGGGTCTCGGGTTCGTTTCCCGGGTCGGGCAAAACATTAATGGGATTTTAAAAAAAACTCTCAGTAGTAGCACGGAGTCTGGAATTGTGCTATATGGCAATAGGCTCACCCCCTATTACATGGGACTCATAACATAAATAGTGAAAAGTGGGTGTTACATTGTACAGTACAGTTCGGGGATAAAAGGCATGATGTTACGTTATGTCAGCATTTTTAGATTAGTTTCGGTAAATTGTTTTTGGGCGTGGGTGGTCATTAGCTCTAGGTAAATAATGAGGAAGGAACGGGGTTTAGGCAAATCTCAGATTATTTATATAGGTAAAGCAATAAATAATTTAAGTTCTAAAGTCAATGCATGTTCACTTTATCTGTCAACATTGCACCTAGGTATAACTATTTTGAAAGAGTCATGCTTTATGAACATGATATCTATTATGGAAAGTTTATACGAAAGTCCTTCACATAATTTCCAGGACTTCCAAAGACTGCGAGACGGTACTTGCAGCCAGGTGATCAACTTCATGCTGCGTATGATAATGGAGCTGCAGAAAGATATGGTGAAGCCAGGCAGGGATGACGCTGACGTGGTCGTACCCCAACGGCCTCAACGGTTCAGAATAAAAGCTTGGAAATAAATTTGTGTTTCATTATATTTCTCCTTTCTCCGAATTAGAGACCTTATTACTGTTTCAAGTAGGTAAGTAATACCTTCACAGTCTCATTAAATAATATTATACAATACAACTCCATCTGAGTGAACTTGTTATCGGGCATAATGCAAAACAAAAAAGTAGAATACTTCATCATCAATAACAACCGGAAGATGTCCACTGGTGGGCAAAGGCCAGCAGTGGACCCTTAGTCCTCCACGTTGAACCACAACTCGCCATATGCATCCACTGGCACTCGCGACTCTGGCGATGCTGTCAATCCACCTAATAGCGGGAGGTACTGACCTATCTCTAAATTAATCGATCAGACAATATCGATAATTTACATAGCTACACAGCTAGTTGAGCTAGTTCAATCCAAATAAATAACAAACTTCATTCGAGCCAGATTCCCAGAGCCATCTATTGAGAAGTATATTAAAACATAATACTAATAAGGTCCTAATGGAAATTTACTGAACAATCGATTCCTAGATACCTACTTTAGGCGATTTAATTTGATAATAACCAATATTCTAAGTTCTGTTTCCCTACGTATAGATATAGGATATTATTATAATATTTAAAATACAATTTGTCAATTTGTGTTGCATAATTGTTGTATAAAGACTTTGGCTATCAAAAATAATAACTTATCACATTACAAATAGTCGACTAAAACGCCACGATATACAGAGCGAACAACACTAACATTTTGACACTTCGCCCATTGCTATCGAAAAGTACGTGCCGTGTCATCGAATCGTAATTACACGTCGTATTTTTGGTACAATTTACCTATACCTGAGTTGTGTAGCGTTGGCATATTTTATTAATTACAATCGTAATAATATTGCTTGAATCATGTCGTCCACTGAAGAAAGTTCTCAACTTAAGGCTGGCCATCCCCCGGCAGGTAAAAACTTAGTTCGAATGCCTTTGTTTATGTGTAAACGAGTCTAAAAACTTTAGCATTCTCTTCGCAAACAGGAAACCGAAATGTTAAAATTAAAAAACAACTATTGATATTTAACTTTAAACTAAAATATCCCTTCAAAATGTTAGGAAATGAAAAAAAATTGTTTAAAAACCTAATAAGTAAATTAAAATTGAACCGCATTGCTATCAGATTGATCAGGCCTTGAATTTTAAAATGACGTCATTTTAAGTTATATTTTCCATGTTACATGAATTGCGTGTTGTCAAACAAAGAATTGAGGCGTCAAGGTCACAAGGCGGTCATTACGAGGCTTAGCATACCTACTTTCATGCTTAAAAACTAGTTTTTATCAATACAAACCTATCCAGTTTTTGTTTTTTAAATTACAATGTTTTTACCGGTATCTAGTTAGAATCTTATAAGAACTCTTAACCAGAAAGGTCTTTTCAAATTAAATTGCACAATATTGATACTTACTTAGATTAATTACACAATATTACACTTACTATTATTGTGTAATAATAACATTGGGTAATTCAATAATGTTATTCAATTGTTATGGGTTTATACATTATGTTAAAACACAAATCAAACTGAACTTAGTTGATAATCCATCAAAACTTCAATAGCATAGCGAATTCAATTTCCTCACTGATTACAACCAAACATTCAGTTCCATACTTAGGTCATCTTGCAATGATTTTACAGTCCCCAACTTTTAAATTACAGTGAAAGCTGGAGGCATGAGAATTACCCAGCACAAGAGCCCTCATAGCAAAGACAGCAGCAAGGAGCCGGCCAACGAGGACCTGACCGGTCTGTCTGGACCTTCACCTGTGCCTTCGAACCCAGTCTCCATCTCTGGAGCACCGAATAGAGGTAATGCGGACTTCACTCCGGAGGCCGCACAAGTGGCTCACAGTCCTAAACCACCAGTACATGTCAATTTTAAACCACAAACAAATATTCAGCAACCCCGAAAATAGATCATATCGTTAAAAGTGTTAAGGTTAGATAGATCCGCAGGTAATGGAGATATTCAAGGATTATATAACGCAATAATAATATTAATCAGATTACTTAATTACTGCCGTAGATTTAAAGGATTAGTACCATAATTAAATATGGACAATATTGAATGCATGTTGTTAAAAAAATAGATAAAATAAATTTGTTAAAAATTAGAGATGTTTACGATGAAAATTTTCTGTTTCTTTTACTGTGATTTCATATCAACAAATGAATGTTATGCAATAAGAATATTTCTGTTTGTTTATCTATCTGCCTTGATAACTTTATCAAACTGTTTACGTTAGGTATCGAACAAGTATTTCGGTGTAGATGCAGACACTACTAGAGAGATAATAAATATATTGTCACCTTGATAAAATTGGTTACCTGTTTATTGGTAGCAACTACATACTTGAATAATGACAATAATACTACACACAAAAATATTTTAATCTAGTTTGACATCACACTCTCTATTTGATAAACATAGGTCTATTTCATCACAGTAAGACAACTGTTCAAACAAAAATATTCTGTTTCAAATTATTTCTATTCATTTTGTTCAAATACCTAATGTAAACACAACTAAACACATGGTTCTAACTTTGTACCATTCTGACATTAAATTAAAAAGTATTGCCAGCATAAAAATATCATATCATTGAATGTTGCCAAGTTATAACCATGTAAACCTTAGGGATTGGATTGAAAAAATATTTTGTATTAAACTAACATGTTATTGATGAGAAAAAGTCTTGTATTTTATACCAATCTAATCGCTAAGGAATAAATAACTGGACTTCTAAGATTAAAATCATTATAGCTAATAAATGCGTATTATAAAATAGTTTTAATGCATTTATTGACTGACTGGTTTTTTGTCGAGAAATTATTTACACTGAAAACGATACAATTTTATTTAAAGTTTACAAGTAATACAACTTTATTGACATTTCATTTGATTGCGAAGTATTTCTTGATGATGACACATTTTGATAAAACAAATTATGTTTGGAAATTAATCACTTGGTGGCTAAACATCGATCCATTAAAAAATATACATTGACGGCAACTACTAAATAGCGGAGGCTCAGTTGCATCCACCATAAATATTATCCTTCACATAACTATGTAATATCGATTTATCTGTCTGTCTATTAATTTAACATAAACTTTAAAACCTCCTAAATTTAAAATAAAAACTGTCTAATATACTATTTCATTTAATAGTACCAATTCCTTCTGTTAATTTTCAAACATAGTTTGTGGTTTCATATCAATTAATGTTAATTATTGTTGTATAAAAAAAATTCCTTAGCACTTGACTGTTTTTAAAAGCGTGTTATTGTACTTAGATATGTGGTTGGTGGTCATACAAGAAATTATAAGCGACAAAATATAATAAAATTACTTACTTTGTACCTCCGTGGTTACTAATGTGTAAAAAACATACTTTTACGAAATTAGCCGATAATTGTTGGCTTTTTTATTTTGACATTCCCAGTATTTTTTTTATTTTAATCGGCTAATAAAAAGCAGTCCCTGATTAAAAAACAGTGACTTAAATATAAAAAACTTACCTATTTTAAATAAGTGTGAACACCAACCATTGAATAGAAATTAGAATATAAAAAAGTGTATAATGTGCGGTATAATAATTATAAATATATAGTTATACATAAATGTAGTTAGTTCAGTATAAAGATAACCAGTGTTGAATAAAATAAAATATTTAAATAAAATAAATGGTCCATTACAGTTTTGCACAAATATGTTTTAATGCTTTTCTCTAAGACTGCTTATTTCTTTTGCTTTTTACGATATTATATTTTTCAAAATTTTATGTTTTGCTCGCTAAAAGTTTTTAAAATTATATATTAAGTTGATTTTAATGCCCTGAGATGTTACAGGGAATTGAATAATTACGGAATTTATTTTTGGTTGTTGAAATTTTTAAATATTTAGATTGATTTTGTTTTATGAGAATTTTTTACTGAAGAAATAATGGAAATGGTTATTAATAGTTTTAAGTTAGATTTTTATATGCCTAGACTGAGTCTAAGACTTTGAAAGATAAGCGTTTTCGTATAGCTTTTATTATACTAAATTTTTAACCAAACCGCATCTTCTGTAACCATTGGTCGGTTCAGTACCTTTGTTTCCTTACCTGCATATGTACTAAAAAGTCTGACAGTACTTCAGTTTTCTAAGAGCAATAGGTCTAGCTGTGCGTTGTCACTTGACTGTCAGTCTATCCCTCATTCATAAGTAGCAAGAATAATTTTATACAAATTATTTTGCGTGCCTGACAGCTCTACCTAGGCATATAAATAAATCTATCTAGATATTTATTAGTGTTAGTTACAGTACAGTTTTGATATTATTTGGTGCTAAGCCACTAAATTACATTGAAATATAAATTATAGCATTTTGTTCACATTCCTAATATTACCTACCTAAGTTTACAATTGTAATGCAGATAAAAATACAAAAAAAGTTTTAATTATATTTTTTCCTATTCTTGTTTAGTAATTGGTCTTACTTATGTTTGTTTGGCCAAGTTTAAGTTCAAGTAACGATTTCTTTTATATTTTTATTATTAGTTTTAAAATAAATTGGTTTAAAAGCCATATTGTGTTTTATTAAACCCAGAAAATTGAGATAGTTGAATAAAGAGGTGTGCATGTAAAATGAAACAATTTTTTTAATTGAAATCTATATTCCTTTATTGTAGAAAGTACATAAATACCTACTTAGTACATATAAAATCAATTCACTATCACAAGGAAACAACAATATGTATATTAAGGAAAAATATTAAAACAGTTGTAAATAAAATACATGGTTAAATATAAAAATGATAATGGTGGATAATTAAATAGGTAAGGAATTAAATATAAATTGTGTCTTTCATATAAATAAGACACAATAGATAATACACCTGACTTCGCATCAACCGCTTCATTTCTCTGCACTTCCCTATAGTTGACTGTCAGAGAATGTATTCATTATCTTTTGTAAAGAAGAAATAAATAAATTATTGTGTCTCGCGTGGATCCTCGTTTAGACAACCGATGGGTTAGCTAATCTAAAGGTACGAATGTACTACGACACTACTTTCTGTGTGGGAGAGCCATGCTTCGGCAGGAAGGGTCTGGGTCGACCGGAGTGATACCACGGCGTCACAGAAAACCGACGTGAAGCAACGCTTGCTTGCGTTGTGTTTCGTCGTGTGAATGAGGTTACCGGAGGCCCAATTACCTTCCCATTCCCCAATCTCCCCAATCCCTGAATCCCCAACGATCCTCAAACTCCTAATCCCCAAAAAGCCGATAACGCACTTGTAACGCCTCTGGTGTTCCAGGTGTCCATGAGCGACGCCGATTGCTTACCATCAGATGATCCGTCTGCTCGTTTACCGGCTTATGCCATAAAAAAAAATCAAATTGCTCTGTATGAAGACGAGTGTATGTAAATAGAAAATTTATTGTGACACAATAATTAATGTCGCATCAACCGCCGTCTTACTATCCGTATACTTAAGTGTAAAAAAAATTAAATTGTTAATATCTACACTGGGACATGTGACTTATAGTTATAACATAAATAGTGAAAAATGGGTGTTACAGTAGCATTAAGTGCTGTAATAAGCAACCTCTGCCTACCCCTTCGGGGATAAAAGGCGAGATGTTATGTTATGTAGACATTAATGTCTAAAAATATCAGAATTTATGTCGTAGTTTATTGTACCTTTATATGAAATGAAGAGAAGCCATGTGATGTAATGATGGACCTAATTTAATTATCCACCAATACAAAATGAAGTAGAAAATAATTCACTATTTAGTATTGCCTTTATTGACCTTTGTAGTTGATGGTTTCTTTAGTTTGTTAGTCAGCAAAGTGTTGTAGATCTGTGAAATTAAAAAATGATATTACAGAATGCGTCCTTTATAAAATATCTTGTAAGTCAAGCGATAGCGATAGGTCGATTTTCGAGTTGGACAAATGTATTATTAGGATTTTTGACAGATTTCAGTAATAGCACAGAGTCTAGAATTGTGTCCTGATGGCTAAAGATTAATAACATGAAGCTGGAATGGAACCTATAACATAACTGCTAATGGTTCAATGAAAGGTAGGTTTAAAATGCGTTGTCATGTTGTAATTGGATACTTGCCAACTAGTCAAATTCAATACGTTTTTCGAACTGTCAAAAAACGACAAATTTCTATGAATTTTGTACGAGATTGTGTATACGTCACGATTTTTTGGCGTCAAACAGCATACTTTCTAATTCTAGAATTTTCTGGAAATATACTAAAATTAATATGGTCATAAAATCAATTAACGAAATTGTGATTATTTTTTAATATTTTATTGTAATACTGAACAGTCAACATTATTTATTTTTGATGAAGGCAAGTAGCCAATTGTGAGCTAGCAATATAAATATTACTACTAACATAACAACAAGTCAATATTACTAGCTAAAATCAGATATAATTTAATCAAATTGCTGTGTACTGATAACAAGTCTATCTATCTATGTAGTTAATTACTAAAATATAATCAATAGTCGGTCTTCCGCCGGTCTACATACGGGTAAAACCAGTTTTAAATTTATTTTTTTCCTTATGTTGTATTTTTTTCTATCTGGTGTTTCTAGATCACAAAAAATCTTAAGATTTTCAATTTTAAAATTTAATGTCATCAATAAGGGTGCTGTCTATATCCTACCAATATAGTAAATGGGAAAATTTGTTGGAATGTATGTTACTCTTTTTACTCGAAAATCACTGAATAGATCTTAATGGAATTTGCTATTAAAATAGATGTCTGGAAGAACATAAGGTACTTTTTATCATAATTATGATCGCGGGCGGTAAGCAACTGGCAGAAGATATTTAATACGAACCTCTTCTTCGGAATTCTGCCCTGAAGAAGTAGCAGTGCCATTTGGTCTGCTGGGCAATTCATTTATTACTGGAATATTCAATGGAGGTGCCTTCACGATATCTAAACACAAAAATATAGTGTTTATAAATGCAATTTTATGCTCTAAATATCTGTAGGGTACGGTTGTAAATCGAAAAACTAACTATATGATAATAGTATATTTGGAACAAGAATTTATACAATACATAATGGTCACATTGGGCCGAATGATCGCAAATGTGACTACCGGGGTTCATCTTGAACTCTCGTGTTGGGTAAAGCCAAGGATTTTTTAACCTTTTGAGCGCCAGGGTCACAAATACATGACAAGCGAAAACTGTCCCTGAGCGCCAACGACACAAATATGTGACAAAAACAGCGGTACATTAAAACACGAAATAAACTATTTAAACATTACTTTAATGCCTATTTATTTATATACCTGTAAAATAGAAGGTCCAAAATTTATTTATTTCCATAAAACTAATTAAATTGCATTATAAATATTGAGAAATTTTACGTTAAAAAGAAAGAAATAAACTCTGAAAAAAGAATGTCCTCACACGCCAGTGTCATAACTGCGTGACCGCTAGTGATGTAGCGCATGTTGGATAATATCATTATTTCAAATCAAAGATCGATTCGAAACTTTCCTCTGGAATATATTATTTTAGGTATAATTTGGTACTAGGATAAAGCAGCATTAATTTTATAAAAACCAGTCTTAAAAATCATTCAATAAGCTACATAGTCAAAAATAAAATTTGGTTGGGTCGAATTTCGATATTCACTAATCCCAACTCAAGCGCATCCCTAACGCAACCCGAATTATCAGTACCCTGTACGCCATGGTCACGACTAGACGACAATATCGTGACGTCACAAGCGCGGCGACCAGAAATTAGTGAAGTGAATGAATAATATTTATGATTAATTTACTTGTGATATCGAGTTCAAGATTTATATTAAGTGACTATTATAATGAGTGGGAATTTAATGACTACGGAAGAACTTCTTCGCATATTAGAAGGAGTCTCAGATGACGAAGAATTTTCGGAAACAGAATCTTTGGACGAATTTGATTTAGAGATTTGCATTGTAGATTTTGTATAATTTTGTTCTATTATTCAAAAGATTTATTAGTATAAGACTGATTGGTAATTGTGATAATTATATATAATCGTTAATTGTTTTGTTACTTTTTATGCCAGGTTTATAGAACTTAATATTTAAAAACATGTATACATAGTACATACTGTATAACATTTTATTAAAATTTTCTACTTTTTCATAGTTTTTATTTACCTTCTTAACCTATTTCAATCATATATTTTTAAGTACCTGTTACATTCGGAATTATAAATCTAATTTAAAAAACGTGTTTCATTTATTATAAAATAATATTGTACTAGAACATCGATAAACGAGATATTACGTTGCCACATCCTTATTTCGGAAGCGAAGTAGTTATTAAAATGGCGGGCCGTCCACGCCATGGTCACAATATGAAGACAGCAGATCAAGAATAGTGTTGTACCTACAGTTATTATATTTAAATATATTGTAGTCTCATATCTGTTATTACGGTATTATACAAGTCTGTAAATAGTGTATAACTATTACTTTAATAGGAAGAAATGTAATGTTGAATTAAATTTCAATGTTATAAGGACATTATATTTCGAAATTAAAGACGAAAATGAAAATAAAATTGATTATCGATGAAGTTTTGGAATCCCTATTTTTTTCGTAGGTATTTGCCGTGAATTTGTGGCCTGGCGTTGAGGGCAAGTTCATGCGTTTTTGCTCTGGCGTTCAAAAGGTTAATGGGGAAAATCATCGAAATACTTCTCCGCCTGGGTGAGGCGGGAGGGAGTGTCAGACTCTTACTGACTAAAAACCACCCCGTTCCTTCTCCTGCACCTCCTAAAGCCAAGGATAAGGGACAAATGTCCTGCGACGTTGCCGGACTGGCAACACATGTCTGGCAACATCAACGTCGCTGTGGACACAAGGCGCCCGTTGTCGCCTTATAATAATATGTCGAGCGAAATCAACCGGCTTCGCTTGACATGTGTGTCCATGTCGTAGAATATTTGTAGCATATCCTTGACTTAAATTGCCAAGTGTTATTGAGAGTTTTAGTTTTCAAAAATTCTCTATTTTTTTTATATATTTGATGGGCCAACGTTTGACAACTATCTCGCTTGGTGGTAAGCGATGAAGCGGTCTACGATGGAGCACGTCGTCCCATAAGCAACTTATTCGCTCGGGCCTTTTTTTATGGCATAAGCCGGTAACCGAACAGACGGATCACCTGATGGTAAGCAATCGGCATCGCCCATGGACACCTGGAACACCAGAGGCGTTACAAGTGCGTTACCGGCTTTTTGGAGATTAGGAGTTTGAGGATCGTTGGGGATTCAGGTATTTGGGAGATTGGGGAAAGGGAGGGTAATTGGGCCTCCGGTAACCTCACTCACACGACGAAACACAACGCAAGCGTTGCTTCACGTCGGTTTTCTGTGAGGCCGTGGTATCACTCCGGTCGAGCCGGCCCATTCGTGCTGAAGTATAGCTCTCTCACACTTAACTTGAAGACACCAATTCATTATTAGGCTAGTTTCTATTGCAATTGCACATATAACAGGCAACTGATAATTTGGGTGTTACATTGTGATTGAATCTGTATGTATATCATAAGGTACTGTTCGTATGTAATATTTTACCTTTTGGTTTCGTCGGAGCTTGCAGTTTTTCAGGCTGTAAAGAAGTAAAATTTATTGTATAAATTGTGTGTATACCATTAAATAGGGGCCGTCCATAAATTACGTCACACGTTAACGGACAGTGTGACATTGTGTGACAAAGGGGAGGGAGGGATCCTAAACTTTGTGATGTCACATTTCAAAAACTATTATCTCTTCCTTTCGCGCTCAGCTTAAATGGCTTCCTATCCGTGAGAGGCGATCCCTTAGATCCCTCTGCATGCTCTTCTCTATTCTAAATGATCCTTGTGCTCCCGAATACCTAAAGTCTGGCTTTCAGATTTTGGGCAGCTCTCACAGCCGAAATCTCCGTTCAGCTGAAAGTTTGCTTCTAGAGATCCCGTCTCACCACACTTCTTTCGTTTCTAACTCCTTCAGAGTTAGTGTAATTAAATTATGGAATGCACTACCCCACAGTATAAAAATGGCTCCAAACAAAATGGCTTTTAAACGTAGTGTTCGTGAGGCTTATTTAAAGGCGCTACAACGCTGAGTTCGTGTCTTCGTCAATTTATATTATATTATAATTATATATATGAAGTTATTTATGTACATATTTTGTGTTCATTATATATTTTTATACAGTATGTTATACAGTATTTAGTATTACTATTAGTTATTTATTTTGTTTCTTTTGTGTAATAACACAAGCCCATTTTCGCTGAGCTTACTTTTAACCCAAAGGTTGACTGGGAGAAAATGCCATATGGCATTAAGTTTGCCTTATGTACCTTATTTTGTGTGCATTAAAGTGTAAAATAAATAAAGAAATAAAATAAAACACGAAATATAATTGTATTAATGTTTTTTATTTTGTTTGATTTGATACTAATACTTTTTAAAGTTATTTAAATAGAAATAAAACTGACTTCCGAACCGCTGTTTTCATTCAATATATTTTATACATACGTAATTCTGCAAAATGTGACTACACAGTAGCGGGGTTTCACAAATGTAACTAGCTGTGACAAGGACGGGGGGAGGGGCAAAAAATCATGAAATTCGTGTGACGTAATTTATAGATGACTTCTTATAGGTAGGACCAATATCGTTCAGAAGTAACCGTGCTAAATATAATGTTTATAAAAAAAAGCATACAAAACTACTTACAATATCACTGACGCTGGGCTTAAAATACTTTGAAGACATGTCCCTCTCGCTTGCACCACTCAATATTTGCGATGCTGTAAAATAACCAATTAAAAATCATTACATAAATACGCCACGTAATCACTTGCACAAATAGGTACATTAAACCTCTATATACAGTTTTTATAATAACTATCGTGAGACATACTAAATTAACTAAAATCACGTAAATATACTGAGAAAAGCTCTACTAGTTTCAAACCACAGAAGGGTTCTTCTTCATGAGCAGCGTGCGCGGTTGCGGCGACGTCGAGCTCAGTAAGCTGCGCGACGTCGCTCATGAGGAAGAACCTCTCTGTGGTTCGAAACTAGTAGAGCTTTTCTCAGTATATTCACCTCTATATTATTATACAGGTTGTAAAAAGAACGCTGACAAAAAGAAACGGTTTTAACCGTTTTTCTATCCATTTTATTCATGCAACTTCAGCCTTGAGTTGATAACAACTATTATTACATAATAGAAACATTTCATTCCTTATTTTTATGGAAATAAAACTTATTTTTGACCATCACCTGTCAACGTTTCGTTTTACACCTTGTTTAGCACGGAGTCTGAAATAGGAGCTAATGTTTTTTGCCCGTCTGATGGCGCAATTGTTAACAAAGGATGTTTTATTCAATCACAGCAGCTGTCAAATATTGAACATCCAATAATGTGACACAAGACAAATTCCCTAATGGACAAAAAACGCAATCCACACCAGATTTCACCCGACTGTCAAAAAAAGGTTTATTCTTACACCGCGTATATTGGTATTGCTTAAATACCTTTAATTGGTATTGCTTTATCACCGTTAAAAGTTCTTTTTATCATTGAAAGGATAAGAACAATAACTTACAGATCTGCTTGCCCCAAACGGACTCCCGATAGTTGACTCTCTTGCCAGCCCGGCGTCGTTTGCCGCGGCCTCTGCGCGACACCGCCGCCCGAGACTCCACTGAGATGCGTCGGGCCACGCGGTGGTATAGGCAACGAGACGATACGTTTGACACCTGAAATATAAGAGAAAAATTGGTGTACGCCGGGAATGCATGCAGCAGGCAAGCAAGCAGGTGTTACTGTTATATCACCATCCTGTTGCCCAGCCACCATGCCAACCGAATAGGGTAGACGACTAATTTTTATTTTAATGTCCGTCTGATAAATTATTTAAAAACATTAGACACGTATTTTTTATTTTCTCACAGAAACGAATAGTTTCGAAGATATATTGATTTGAAATGTCGCGTGACGTCACTTCTCAGTACATTTTATACTAAGAAATGACGTTTTAGCCCCCACTCCTAAACTTTGATTCGTTTTATCTAAGTATTGTTTTATTATACGACAAAATAAAAAAATACGTGTCTAATATTTTTTCATTACCTAACTTGCGGACTAATTATATTTTTAATTTTCATACCCTGTCATCATCCCCATTGTCTAGTTTCCTAGGTTTAAAATAAATTGTTTCAACTTTTCAATGCAATAAATAATTAAAAAATAATCATACTCTCATGCATAGATTTGACAATATACCTACTTTTGGATATTTTCTCGCTAATTTCAAGGAAATAAGTATGCTGTTTGACGCAGAAATATGATGACGTCATAAGTTGCGATCCAAAACAAAATTCATAGAAAAGTATCGTTTTTGATGACACTGGCAGTATAGTCGACAACACCATTTTGGAGACTCTGTTGCCAACAAAGAAGAAGAAAAAAAATCGTTTTTGACATTTCAATAAAAGTATTTAATTTGGCTACCTGTCAACTACCGTATTCGTCACCATGATTCAACCCTTCTTTAGTTCGGAGAGCAAAAAATTAGGGTAACTTATATTTTGTTTATTTAACGGCATGAAAACGTAACATTGTTGTTTGTGTTCTAGTAACTGTTAGGACTGTTAATTTTATTTTATTGTTATATCCTCTGGACTTCTATTATATTACTAGGATTTATTCTCTCTTTTCTTTTACTAGGATTTATTCACTCTATTGGTATTAATAGTGATTTAACTATGAAATCGTTTAATGAATGAATACCTGTGTAAAATTAACTTATAATTATTATTAAATAATTAAAACAGCCTTATTCGTTTATTGTCAATGTTAAAATTAAAATACAATTATATAAATAAGGCTATTTTCACCCCTTACTTATATCATAACTTAAAGTAACTCCTACCTGATTGTTGACTGTTTGGGGAAACCAAATTGTCGTTAGGTATTATCTTAGCTTAGGGATTCCTTTAAAGTTATGAAAGGTATATGAAAACTAGTCTTACTAGGATTTATTAACCATATAATATTATCTTCTTTTATTTTTATTAAGTACATAATAAAGTAATAAAATAGGGTGTCGTATGTTTGAATGTTCGCGCGTCATACCAAGTGTCAAGTAGTACACAGACGTTTAGTTCTCCCAAACACCAACAGATGTCACTGTGCCGTGACGTCATTTTCTGAATCGCGGTGTTAAGATTCTCCGCGAATGAATGACCCTCCCCGGTTGCGAGTGTTACGGTATCGCTTCTCGGCCTTTTGGCTAAGATCAAAGTGTAGTATCTGTTCTTTTCAGCTTAATATCTGAAAGTTCCCTCACTGAGGGACCAGTATATTAAACTGATTTTTGTAAACTGACGGGATGTTCGGGGCTCGCTCCACTCCCGTCACGGGTCGGCCCGGCATTGCAGTGCCGCCGGGATCGGCCCACAGAATTCCTTGAAAATCTGTAATACTTCTATCTTAAATAATAATCTACAGTGTAGATTCTACAATATCGAAGGATTTATAAGTATCCATCTAGACTTCCAGAGATATATAAATAAGACGGTACAATTAATTAATATAGAGTAGACGTTACTTTGAAAGTTACCCACTCTTACCTTACCTTAAAGAATACTTTTGCAATTGTAATTTACTGGCGTAGAAGCCCAAATAAAATGAGCCTTTAGCGATGTTTTGGTTTTCATTTCTTGATATATTTCAATAATTCAAATTAATTGGTAACATATATGACTATTATGTACTACTCCCGAGTGTATTTCAATGTAACATGTTTGTTAAATTTGGATTTGTAGTTTGATTAAACATTTTGTATTCATTTAAATACAGTTCGAATCTTAATCTGAATATTAATAATTACTAAATTATTAATTTAAACTAACATTTCTTTAAAATTCTCTTTTTGATTAATCAAATCCCAACTTACCACAACCCGTTCTAACTTTTAATCATGGAATAAAAAAATACTAGTTTTAACTCACCAGTTCACACTGCAGGTCATCGACCTCGTCCTCCAAGATGTCTAGCTCGTCAGTATCCTTGGCTGGTACTATCAGTAGTTTGGTCTCCGGACAGCTGCCTGATACTATCAGCTGGGACGACTTCGGGAATATTAAGCGGTGAGCCGTCCTGGAAATTTATGTTAACGGATTTTTTTTAACTTTATAAAGAAATAATAAAGTTTAATTATAAAATACATGTATTATAATACGTATATTACAACTGGCTCGTAGGCCGAGTGGTCGCAAGTGCGACTGCCAGGCAAGGGGTCTCGGGTTCGATTCCCGGGTCGGGCAAAGTATCTTGGTTTTAAAAAAAAATCTCAGTAGTAGCACGCAGTCTGGAATTGTGGCAATAGGCTCACCCCCTATTACATGGGACTCATAACATAAATAGTGAAAAGTGGGTGTTACATTGTACAGTGGCATATTGTGCACCTCTATCACCATCACGCCTTTTATCCCCGAAGGGGTAGGTAGGTCCAGTCGTTTGAGAGAAGTGACATACAGTGACATCAGTGACATACACACTCACAGAAGGATTATATATATAAAGATAATAAATACCTGGGTATGTAAGCAGGTGGCTGGAACACCTCTCTGGTGGCCATGTCCTGGCAGATACCATCCAACAGCACTATGTCTTCCATCAACTCGTTTACCACGAACACCTGGAGAACATTTCTGATTTTGTATCTTATTATCTTAATATCTAATCGTTGTGGGAAATAGGGACAAAGAGTATATAATTATGGCTAGTATGAAATAATGAATCGTGAAATTATTATAACTTTCATCCAGCATCCAATATAGATTATACAAAAAACATATTACGTAAAAAGCTGACTAGTACCACAAAAATGATAGACCAGTCAACATATATCCGTGCGGTCCATGGCCTTCTACGGCGCCCCTGTGTGTGCATGGGTGGCTCCCCGTCCGACCAGAAACAGACCCGAGCGTACGGCGCCGAGCGTTCCGCGCGCGCCTCAAAGACCCATCAGACCACCACAGATGGGGCCCAATAGGGCCGATGCCGATTCGGAGACGCGGAGAACCTAACGGGTAACCGGGGCTCCGGTTCGACGCGCAGAAGAAGCAACGGGGTGGTTTTTAGTCAGTAAGAGTCTGACACTCCCTCCCGTCTCACCCAGGCGGGAGCAGTCATTCGATGATTTTCCCCCCTTTTAAAAAGTCAACTTATATCGCACTACTGATAAAATGTATATTCAGTAATAAAATTTATTATATCTTACCTTAAAAGCTTTAAGACAGGGTACGAAGGCGTGCTCCAGCCTCATACTGAGTCGTTCCACCGGCCAGCCGTGGTAGGCGGGGACTGTCGGGAGCACCATCATACTTAACTTGATGCCAATCTCACGCCACATTGACGCTTCGAGGCTAGATGGAGAAAAATATCTTATTCTTTATTACTTGGACTAGAAAAAACATGCATCTATGCATGAAAAGATTGATGACTGTTGATGAAGCGAATAGGTATGTAAGAATCGTAGCAATTGGCGTTCCATTGTCTCTGCTTTGTTGTTTGTTGTTAGCTGTTTTAGTTCATCATTCAGTGCTGGACATTTCCGAAAGCAGGCAACAAACAGTAACTCATTTATCAGATTTTCGCATCCAACCACTGGCAGCCACTTTGTGAATAGAATACTTTTAGTAAGTACTTTATAATCTAAAATAAAGCTTAAAATTGTTTTGTTTTATGGCATAAGCCGGTAAACGAGCAGACGGATCATCTGATGGTATGGTAAACAATCGGCGTCGCCCATGGACACCTGGAACGCCAAAGGCATTACAAGTGCGTTACCGGCCTATTGAGAATAGGGAATTTGAGGATTGTTGGGGATTCGGGGATTGGGGGGTAACTGGGCCCCCGGTAACCTCACTCACACGACGAAACACTATGTTGTTGATTCACGTCAGTTTTCTGCTCGGCCGTGGTATCACTCCGGTCGAGCCGGGCCATTCGTGACGAAGCATAGCTCTCCCACACTTAAAAGCACTAGTAGAAGGGGTAATCCCTTGTTTAATGAATATTTACCCCATGATAGGATGTGGAGCTAGATTGAATGCTTCTTTAATGACGGGCATGGTGATGTAGTAGGCTTGTACCGCGGAGTCACAGCGGACTGTGTAGCTATATGGACGGTTTGTTAGCACCTGTAATACATATAGTCTAGTTTTTAAATCCCAGAAAGATATTCGGACTCAGAAACGAAAGAACATCAAGAAAAAAGCGTTCGAGAATTATATCTGTTTTATAATGATGTTTTTGTCTTGTTTGAAAAACATGCCAAATATAACATCACGGGATAGGCAGAGGTGCACTTAATGCCACTGTACAATGTAACACCTACTTTTCACTATTTACGTTATGAGTCCCATGTAATAGGGGGTGAGCCTATTGTCATATACCGAACACAATTCCAGGCTCCGTGCTACTGAGAAGTTTTTTTTTAAACCCAAACCTAGAAATAATACTTTTCTTTTAAAAACGTTGCCCCACACTAGTATTCTTTCCTGTGTCGTGGATGCGTTTGCAAACATACAATATCACATACACATGACACCTAGACCCGGAACAACAATTTGTGGATCACACAAAGAGTTGCTCCGTGCGGGAATCGAACCCGCTACATGTTGCGCTGCAGCCGGTTGCCTAGCTTTTTTTTAAGGTGGGAAAATCATCCAATGACTTCTCCTATCTGTGTGAAGCAGGAGGGAGTGTCAGACTCTTACTGACTAAAAACCACCCCGTTCTTTCTCCTGCACGTCGAGCCGGAGCCCCGGTTACCCGTTAGGTTCTCGCTGCTGCACCAACCGTGCAGTCACTATATGGAAATAAATAAACCAAGACAAATAATAACCTTTTTTCAAACCAAACCAAAGAAGAATTTTAAAACCAGTCCACAACTGGCGTAGTAATCGATGAACATACATACATAGAAAAAAAAACAATCATCCGAACATAAAACCTCCTTTTTTTGAAGTCGGTAAAAAGTAAAATTAAACTTAAATCTCACCCCAAGTACTCCCACAGCGTTACCAGACACGATATAGTCCTGGCTGGGGTCTCCGAACTTGAGGTCCGTGATGAACTCGTAATTGGGTATAGCTTCATCAATATCCTCGTCTGGGGGTATGTAGGTGGCTTCTAGCAGACCTGATACTAGGATGTACATGCCTTTGGGCTCGTCCCCTGAAATATATTATTATGACGATCAGATGTGTACCTATTTTGTGTATTTTATGTGAAACTAGAGGCCCCGACAGATATAGTCCTATAAAAAAAAATATTCGAATTTTTCTAGCCGTAAAAACCAACCTTGAACGACAACGAACATTTAAAAAAAATTGGTCCAGGCGTTAACTATAATATTATAATGTTTCACATGCACTACCGTTGCCGGTGTAGAAATATATCTAATAAAAAAGAAAAAGAGAAACAATATTATGGAATTTCAACATCAGCACAATTTCGTTACATCTTTATGAAAGAAACTAGCTACTTCCGCGCGGTTTCACACGCTCTGCTCAGCTCCTATTGGTCGTAGCGTGATGTTTTATAGCCTATAGCCATCCTCGATAAATGCGCTATCCAACACAAAAAGAATTATTCAAATCAGCCTTGTGGTTACGGAGATTAGCGCGTTCAAACAAACAAACAAAAAAACAAACTCTTCCGCTTTATATAATAAAAGTATAAGATAACAATACAATTTAAATTAAAAGAATCATATTATTATGTCAAAATTATTCCGCATTAACGATTGATGTTTTGTTGTTAAAATAAATCCAGTTTAACGATAATTCCACATTTCCACATTAACGATATTGATGACAATAAGTATAACTTACCTCTAGATATCAATATATCATTAATATTAAAGTTCAGTATGTCCGAATGTTCTAAGAAGTAGTCTGCTATCCGCTCGTTGCCTTGCAGCCACGATACTGCGCGGAGTTGAGTCTGAAAACGTTTTTTTTTTTATATATTTAATGGACCGACGTTTCACCAGTATCTCGCCTGGTGGTAAGCGATGATGCGGCCTACGATGGAGCACGTCGTCCCATAAGCAACCTATTCACTCGGGCCTTGAAGACACCCAGGTTATACCATTCAGGAAACACAGAATCTAGCAAAGAATTTCAGTCCTTAGCAAATTGCACAAAGAGGCTATTTTTGTTAGTAATTCTATTATCCGTATTGAGAATCCAGAAGTGGTTGTTTGTTTGTCTTTCATGTCGCCCCAGACATTTTTATGGTATGACTTCTTGTATATCATTAGAGGTAGATTTTTAAGTTGAATAATTTTTTCTAATATTTATATAATTTATTTGACTTTTAATTTAAATGGTTATTTATGTAAGATTAATTGGTGGAATTTTAGGTTATTTTATTAGAAATATAAAAATTCATTCAATAAATAAATTTAAAATAATAGTTGTTTTTGTATGACCGCGCACGCTGCTCATGAGGAAGAACCCCTCTGTGGTTCGAAACTAGTAGAGCTTTTCTCAGTATATTCACGTGAGTAACCCGCGATTTTTAGTTAATTTGGTATGACTTGTATTACTTATTTTATGTTTATGAAAATATATATGTATGACGCGGAATGCTGCTCATGAATATGAGCCTCTAGTATGGCTTGAAACTAGTCGATGTCCTCGTCAAACATAATAATGAATTTAGTTTTTTAAGTTATAATATGACTTTTGTGTCCAGAAATAGGAGGCTGCAAAATGACATAGGCTACTTAATTTTTGACTACCCGGTCGGAATGTTAGGTATTTTATAAAGGCGACAGTTTAAATAAATATTTGTTACTCAATCTCAAAAATGGCATGGCATAAACAGAATTTGCTACAAAGGGACCTAGGGAGGCCTAGGAACATAGGCCATGGATATCTTGCGACTGTTATGATGATGAAAGGACTTAATTGAGTACACTATTATTATCAAAATCTCACCTCAGGCGAAGAGGGCGCCACCAAGCTGCCTTTGTGACGACACATCTGAATTTTCTCTCGAATCGCACTCAGCAGTAATCTGTATTCCATTTCGTCCAAAAATCCTGTAAAATTATAATAAGTATTTGTAAAAAAAAACCGGTAATCGAACCCAAGACCCCTTGGCACTGGCGACCACTCGGGCAATGAGGCATTGACGTTCACCCACCTTCCTCCTTCAGCTGCATGGCGTCGAGGATCATGATGTTGAGTGTGGAGGTGGTGGCCTGCCTGGTCTTCACAGTGATGGCAGTCCACGGCCGGTCGCGCTGGAGTAACCCGAGCTGACGGGTTACTACCAACCTGCAAACAAATTAGCATTTTTTTATTATTGTACATTTTACTCTCAAAAATCAGCGATCGAATCAAAAATATTGATAATCGGCGTCGCCGTAGGAATTTGAGGATTATTGGAGATTCAGGGATTGGGGAGATTAGGGAAAGGGGAGGGGGATTGGGCCTGCTTTTGTTTCACGTCGGTTTTCTGTGAGGCCGTCACTCCGGTCGAGCCGACACATTCGTGACGAAGCATGGCTGTACCATACTTACTAAGTGGTAGTGAGATAAATCTAATGATATCATTCGACTGAGAGAAGATTGAAGGCAAATTGAAAATACCTGTCGTTATCCAGTTGTGCGGTAAGCATGTCTTGTATTTGTTTGTTGTCGACTAGCTGTGGGAGCAGCGTACATACTTCTTGAGCACCCGTCACGAAACCCTACAATGTTATATTTATCAAATTATGGTTCATTTTTAAAGCCAAGTCAAGGTGGACTGGTATGTATGGGGGTCTTTCTGGGTTTTTAAAAAGAATTACTGGGTTTTTTTAAAAAAATCTCAGTAGTAGCACGGAGTCTGGAATTGTGCCCGGTATATGGCAATAGGCTCACTCCCTATTACATGGGACTCATAACATAAATAGTGAAAAGTGAGTGTTACATTGTACAGTGGCATAATGTTGACTTCTGCCTACCCCTTCGGTGATAAGGCGTGATGTTATGTTATGATCACAAAGAGTTGCTCCGTGCGGGAATCAAACACGCAACACGTTGCGTGGCAGCCGGTTGCCCAGCCACCGCGCCAACCGTTAAATGAGCTAATCTTTTAATCATAGGTACCTAGGTAGTGTTTAGTCTTAGTTCAAATAAATTATATGTACATACCTTTCCGACATCGTACCCAAATGCAAGCTGTATGTCAATCATGCGGTCTATGTACGCCATTATTTTGGGCACTGACACCCTGGAAAACAACAACATTTGAAAAATCCTGCCTCGTTGGCCGAGTGGTCGCAAGTGCAACTAAGGGTCTCGATTTCGATTCTCAGGTCGGACAAAGTATTACTGGGTTTAAAAAAAAATCTCAGTGGTAGCATGGAGTCTAGAATTGTGCCCGGTATATATGGCAATAGGCTCACCCCCTACATGGGACTCATAATATAAATAGTGAAAAGTAGGTGTTATATTGTACAATGGCATTAAGTGTCGTAAAGTGCACCTCTGCCTACACCTTCGGGGATAAAAAGCGTGATGTTATGTTAATGTAATATTATGTTACACACCTGGCCAGCTTACACAAACGTAGAAATCTAAGCATCCTCAACAACTTGGTGGCGGTTATGAAGCTGGAGTTCAGATTGCTCCATTTGTCCCAGGTCGTTAGGGCATCTAGCACGTCTAGGATTAAGTCTGAAATAGAGATATACAATCGTTCGACCAAAGGGTTGAAAATTCGCGGAGAACCTAACGGGTAACCGGGGCTCCGGCTCGACGTGCAGGAGAAGGAACGGGGTGGTTTTTAGTCAGTAAGAGTCTAACACTCCCTCCCGCCTCACCCAGGCGGGAGAAGTCATTCGAACATTTTGCCCCCCCCCCCCAAGTCCATTGTCCCCCAAGTCCATTGTTTTATCTATAGACAACTCCCAGCTGACTGATAACGTTAGTGATAAAATATTAGACTATCAATATAGATTAGCAGTTAATAAATGAAGCCCCACTCACCACTGGTCGCCATGACGATGATGAAGAAGTCCAGCTTGTTCCAGTGCGACTTGAAGTACCCACAGAAGCCGTACGCACACATCTTGATGATCATCTCTAACACATAGATTATGTAGAAGAATCTGGAATTGTGTTGTTGATAAAATAAATATTTTTTATTTTTATAGCCTGGATAGTAAGGCGACTGCCTCGTTGGCCGAGTGGTCGCAAGTGCGACTGCCGGGCAAGGGATCTCGGATTCGATTCCAGGGTCGAGCAAAGTATTACTAAGTTTTTAAAATTTTTCAGCGGTAGCACGGAGTCTGGAATTGCGCCCGGTATATGGCAATAGGCTCACCCCCTATTACATGGGACTCGTAAAATAAATAGTGAAAAATGGGTGTACAGTGGCATAATGTACAGTTCTGCCTACCCCTTCGGAAATAAAGGGCTTGATGTTGTGCTACTACTGAGATTTTTTTAAAAAACCCGGTAATACTTTGCCGACCCCGAAAATCGAACCGGAGACCTCTTTGCCCGGCAGTCGCACTTGCGACCACTCGGCCATCGAGGCAGTGTATTATTAATTCTCTAATAGTTACTGTTACATAGAAATTAATTGTAAAAACTCACAAATTAAGTGACTTGATAGTAATCATAGCGTTTGGCGACACGGGCGCAGGCATGGCCACCTCGCACAGTATGACGGGCGTGTTGCACAGAATCATCAAGTATATAAACCCGTCGAACCACACGTTTGTCACAATCCTGCAGCATGGAATACACTATATTGTACGAGTATTTAACATACTCAAATACTAAATGAAGGTCGCCCCCTTGTAAACAAGAACATACTGGTCATAATTCCACCCATTCGAACGAAGCGTTTCGCGTCAACCTTCCTCATGCGAACCGCTAAGGAATGGAATTCCTTGCCAGAGGCTGTGTTTCTCGTCAAATATGACTTGGGTGTCTTCAAGTCCCGAGTGAACAGGTTGCTCATAGTTAGGCGTGCTCCATCGTCGGCCACATCATCGCTTACCATCAGGCGAGATGGTGGTCAAACGTCGACCTATAAAGTGTGAAAAAAAAATTAAAAATTAATATGTATTTATTCGCATACACAAGTTAGATTACATGTGGATATGGAAGCAAACAGCATTCACATAAACGCAAATACGACAAACGTGCCCGTGGGCCCCAAACTAGGCACAGCCTGTATCTTGATGTAATTGGGTAGTTTCCAGGGTCTCAAAATTAAAAATCTAATTACCTAGTCCGTCAGTTAGATAATGAAAAAATATTAGACACGTATTTTTTATTTTATCGTATTAAGTTGTAATACTTAGATAAAATGGCGCTAAGTTTTGAATTCGGAGGTTATTACGTCATAACGTGCTACAAAATGAGGCACGCTGTGACGTCACACGATATTTCAAATTAATATATCGTCGAAAGTATTTAATTTTATGAGAAAAGAAAAAATACTCGTCTAAAGTTTTAAATTAATCTACCACACAGACATTAAAATAAAATTTAGGAAACTACCCTAGTTCTCTTATTTGAAAGAGTTTTGGTACTACATCAAGTTGTCAGTCTGATGGGATCGCATTTAGGTGCAGATAGAGGATGCAGTTGCTCCTTCGTCAGTTGCTGACCACATTTTCAAGACATACGCAGGTAAATTTGACACTTATGGATTCAATCTAGATAGTGTCCTAGGCAAGTACCTAATGACGCGGAGAACCTAACGGGTAACCGGGGCTCCGGCTTGAAGTGCATGAGAATGAACGGGGTAGTTTTTAGTCAGTAAGAGCCTGACACTCCCTCCCGCCTCACACAAGCGGGAGTAGCCATTCGATGATTTTCCCCACTTAAAAAAAACAGGCAAGTACACACGGCTACACATCGAGCTTTACATAACCAGTATAAACTGAACGTTAAATGTGCGGAAAGATGATGCGACGCGACACCAGGATAAACTGGTTTTGTATAGATTGATGTGTGGCCGTATGTAGGTACCTCATACGCGCTTGCCTAGGTTTTTGAATTATTTTTGGCCCCTGCACTCTATGAGCACGCTCATCTGTAACCTGGCGCCTCAGACATTAGCCTGGGGGCTTACTCTTGAATTCAATTCCGATCGATCGACATTGGTATTGTGAAATATCGTACTCTCGAGTTGTAACACTAGCGCCCATTGCATCCGTATTGCGTGGATATTGAATTAACCAAATAGTATTAAGTTTGGCTTTATATTAAGTACTCTGAAAGCTATTTTAACAGCTACGATTGTGGTTGTATAGTGTTGACATTAATAAATTATTGGGATATTATCGGATTAAAATTGCATTGACATTGAGATTGGTTTCAAGAGTAAGCCCCTGGTTTGCCTTAGGGATAATACGGTTCTGGACACTATTGCTAGATTCTGATACCATTAATGACTAAAGAGAAGATGGAAAATTGTATGACGAATTTTAAGACAAAATGGGAATTTGTAATGAGATGACATCTAATAGAAGGGAAGGAAGAAACGTTATAAATTACTTCAAGTTATTTGAGACAAAGGCAGGGATTACCTGTAGCACTGCTGACGCCATTTTTGTCGAGGTACTTGTGCGTTAGCACTTTCGGGAGTCATCACGTTCACCAGCTTACGGCGAAGCCACACAGCATACGCCTGCGGATCAGGGAATGGAAGGTCAGTATAATTCTTCTCAGACAGGAATATAAGGATTGTAAATAAGTTATAAAACAGATTGAAGAGCCTGAACTTTTTAAGACGAACTCAATTTCATTGAAGTTACAAGCCACTTACAACAGACTCTAAGAGAGCCATACTTCGCCACGAATGGGCCTGCTCGACCGGAGTGATACCAGAGCCTCACAGAAAACCGACGAGAAGCAACGCTTGCATTGTGTTTCGTCGTGTGAATGAGGTTACCGGAAGCCCAATTACCATCCCCTTCCCTCATCTCCCCAATCCCTGAATCCTCGAACTACTAATACCCAAAAGGCCGGTAACGTACTTGCACAGATATAACATTGTAACGCCTCTGGTGTTCCAGGTGTCCATAGGCTACAACGATTGCTTACCATCAGGTGATCCGTCTGCTCGTTTACCGGCTTATCCCATAAAGAAAGACAAAAGGAGTAGAAACGGGGTTGCTTTTAGTCAGTAAGAGTCTGACTTTCCCTTTCGCCTTACCCGGGCGAAAGAAATCATTTAACGACTTTCCCCTCTCAAAAATAAAATAGCTTTTTCAGTATATTTACATGTGTAAACCATTATTTTTATTTAATTCATTGTGTCTCACTATAGTTATTGTAAAACATTCTCCAAGCTTGATAAAACCACAAAATTAAAGTCGGAACCCAAAATAACCCTTACCTTAGGCTTCCACAGAGTCCCCAAAGTGTCCAGATTAACCCTCCCGTCCTCGGAGTCAGCAGCGACCTCTACAGCCTGCACCAGCACTCTCACTCCATCCTTACTGACTTTCCCATGCTCATACTGACGCCAGTACGAGATCTTCAGAGCTTTTAGCACTCGTTGGTGTGCCTCCCTGGAGTATTGGTAATTTTTAATTATAAACAATTAGCTACTTCCGCGCGGTTTCACACGCTTTGCTTAGCTCCTATTGGTCGTAGCGTGATGTTTTATGGCCTATAGCAATCCTCGATAAATGCTCTATCCAAAACAAAAAGAATTATTCAAATCAGACTTGTAGTTACGGAGATTAGCGCCTTCAAACAAACAAACAAAAAAACAAACTCTTGCGCTTTATATAATAGTATAAGAGTATAAGTACCGTTAACCTGTTTTATGGAAACAAAGGATTTGTTTTGTACTGTATCGAAGTATTGGAGAAAATCGTCCCCTTATGAGCCAGAAAACTACTGATGAAAAATGGCTGTTACATGCAGTTTAAGTACTTTTCTACCTATCCCTGTAGAGAGAGATTTACAATTTATTTACCTAAAACTATGATCTTAATCGATCCATTCTTAAAACCTCAACTGCCACGCTTAATACTTGTGACAAATTATAATATTCTATAGTTAAGACCTTAATTATTTTTCATATATTTAAATTCTCATATAAGTAGTGTTATCTACCAATATCAATACTATGTAGATAATTCATTTTAACATCTAAATCCTCATCCACACTAAAAGCCAATAAATAATTATTGTAAAGTAAAATAGCTCCCATTTTCGCCAGTAACGCCATCTAGCTTTACAAATAAACGAATAAACACAAACACTCATTAGAAGAAAATTACTTGGTCATTTCAGCGAACTCCTTCTTAGTTGGTTCATTGGGTATTTCCCTCTCACAATCAGGGCAGGTGGTGTAGTGGTAGCCCATGTAGGTGTCGTCCTCGCTGTCCTCGTCTCTGCCTGACATTTGAAGCTGGTACGGGTGCTTTATTGTAGTACCTAAGTTAAAGACGGAAAGAGTCTCTGTTGTAAGGTTTACCTTAAGGTATTTTTATACTTAATAGGTTAACGGTTCACATAAGTGTGGGAGAGCCATGCATCGGCACGAATGGGCCGGCTCGACCGGAGTGATACCACGGCCTCACAGAAAACCGACGTTAAACAACGCTTGCGTTGCGTTTCGTCATGAGTGAGATTACTGGAAGCCCAGTTACCCCCTCCCTATAGTCTCCCGAATCCCCGAATCCTCCACAATCCTCAAATTCCCATTTCCCAAAAGGCCGGTAACGCACTTGTAACGCCTTGGTGTTTCGGGTGTCCATGGGCGACGGCGATTGCTTACCATCAGGTGATCCGTCTGATCGTTTACCAGATTATGCAATAAAAAAAAATTATAGATAGTATGATGGTTGGTTATGGTTTAATTTAAGGACAATCAAACTGATAATCTGTATGCGCCCTCATAAAGCAATGTCAACCTCATCAACCTCTGGAAGAAAATTTTTTCTGCTGTTCCAATAGCACTTCTGATATCTTTACATAACAATAACATAACATAACATAACATCACGCCTTTTATCCTCGAAGAGGTAGACAGAGGTGCACATTATGCCACTGTAGGTACAATGTAACACCAACTTCTCACTATTTATGTTATGAGTCCCATGTAATGGGGGGTGAGCCTATTGCTATTTACCGGGCACAATTCCAGACTCAGTGCTACTACTGGGATTTTTGAAAAAACCCAGTAATACTTTGCCCGACCTGGGAATCGAACCCTAAACCTCTTGTCCATGCACTTGCGACCATTCGGCCAACGAGGCAGTCTGATATCTTTAAAACTTATAAACATGTGCATCGAAGACTATTTTCCTCATCCCTTTCCATAAGTAGCCAGTTAATAGTGAAATACCAACCGACAGTGACCAGATCCCAGTTAGCATCAGCGAGGAATTTATCCATCTTCAGCATAGAGATACATCGATCTCTGGTCATCATGACCCTTTTCACACAATTCGTCATATTCGCCTTCTTCGCAAGGGAGATCTCTGCCAAGCCGAGGACCTTTAGCACTTTTGTCATACTCGTGGCGTTTAGGAGTAGGGAGAGGATCACTAGACCTGCTGTTTGGATTATGAAGATCTGGAAGCGGAAGGTTAGGGGAAGCTGTGATTAATCGAATGTTTTGTAATGGTAACTTAGAATGTTTTTTCTATCAAATTGTAGAAAATACTTTAGACTCGAATTAACTCGTCGAGTACCGTATTTATAGACACAATTAAAGAACAATAGGTTGCGGTCACCGGTGACCGCTTGGTGTTTGACAGTTTAAATGGTATATGGACTCCCTCGTTACGTGGATATAACTGGTTAGACACATGACAAAGAAAACCAACGGGGTGAGGAAACCTGGACTTAAACTTTTTAATCACAATTATTCGCCCATCCTCGTGGTGATTAATGTTCATTACTTCTCTGGGTGAGAAGACGCTTTTGTTCAGTAGTGGGACAGCAGATATGGGTAATACAATTACGTGTGGTGTTTAATTACATTGCGAACTTAGTAATATTTTACCAGGAGGCAAATTAACAAATTATAATAGTTAAAAATTCGAATTTAAATTATATTAAACAAAAGTAATAGTATTTCTCTTACTTCATTACTCAGATCTCGATGATGGTAATAACTTCCACAACAAGACCATGGGAACATGGGATTTATTTGCAAAGAGATGGATAGATGTGTGTCATGAATGTCTAAGATTTTGTGAGAGGATGGATGATACGTAGCTAATTATAATGTTAATGTTTGTTTCATGTTAGAATTACTATGATTACCAGTTTTGTTATTCAATTTTATAGTTTTTTGTTAATTTTGTTTCTGAATTGTATTAATTTTTATTTCTTATATTTAATGACCTAATTAGTTTGTTTTAAGTAACCTAAACAATAGTATTTATAGACGAACAGTATAACTTAATGTCGTAAGCTGTATATGTAAATTTTCTAAATAAATAAATAAATGCATATTTGTACTTACCTCTCCAGCCTCAGACAATACAGGAGTCTGTAACACAAGCAGTGCCAGACACAGGGACAGTGGTCCCCTGAGCCCGCCCCATACACACGCCAGGCAGTGCTGCCACGTCATGCCGTACCCCACATGGCGAAGGAGGGGGGTCATTGCTGAGTATACCATCAACCTTAAAGGGGAGGGGGGTGTAAGTATATTTGTATTCATTTGGAGAAATGGTGCAGATTTTAGTGATAGGATCTCGTCTTACCCTTTGGATACGGAGCCCTAAAATTGATTAGTGTGCATGTTTTCTGATTAAGAGAGTTAGAAAATATGATTATATGAAATCAATTCAATGTAGGTATGCAATGTAATTAAAGGTTAGTTTTTTACTATAACTGAAAGGTATGTGAGTATTTTATTTATTTATTTTTAAACTTTGCCCCACACCCCAACTTTGCGGGTGAGTTTACAAAAATACAAGTTCACATACACATGACACCCAGACCCGGAACAACAATTTGTGGATCACACAAAGAGTTGTTCCGTGCGGTAATCAAAACCGCGACACGTTGCGCGGCAGCCGGTTGCCCAGCCACCACACCAACCGTGTTGTCCACCAAATTATATATTTGAAGACCTTTCGGAAGGAAAAATAGAAGTTAGTATAGTTATCAGATCATATAGCATAATATAATTACACTTACAAAATTGCCCTTAACATATCATCACGCCTTTTATCCCCGAAGGGGTAGGCAGAGGTGCACATTATACCACTGTACAATGTAATACCCACTTTTCACTATTTATGTTATGAGTCCCATGTAATAGGGGGTGAGCCTATTGCCATATACCGGGCACAATTCCAGAGTCCGTGCTACTACTGAGAATATTTAAAAAACACAATAATAATTTGCCCGACCCGGGAATCGAATCCGAGACCCCTTGCCCGGCAGTCGCACTTACGTCCACTCGGCCAACGAGGCAGTCTAAAATTGCCCTTAATTCTACCCATTTATTCCCTTAGAAAAAACCAACTCACCTGGAGCAATAAACTGTTGTATACGTCACAAATATCAGCGACACCTGCCGGACACTGATAACATCACTAACTTTCTCAAATATCACCACTCCAACCATAGTGAACACTAGAGTATTAGCCGCATGGGCCAATATCCCCCAAAAGGTAGACAACACTTGTTCGACATCCCCAGCAATGGTCGACTTCTTATTACTCACTAAAACGCCTATAATCACAGTACCCAATAACCCGGACACATACAAAAACTTTTCACCGATATAAAATGTCAGATACGCCCCAGCGATCGTTACTGTCACCGCGCACAAAAGATCGTTATATGTTATCGATAGTAAAGTGTCCGTTATCTTCCCCAACACTAGTCCTAGCAAAATTCCACCGCCAGCGTATCTTATAAGGAATATTGTGATATGTGCAGCTTCCGTCATGGCGTAGGATATGTAGCCGAAAACTGCTGTGAACTCGATCATGACTGTGACATCCCCCATCAGCCCTTCACCAAGGAGCAAGACCCCTATGTACTTCCCTTTAGACATAGTCTTCAGCTGCCTCACAACTTCCAAAGGATATATAGGCGAGCATATGATCCCGAATAAAAAAGCAGTAGCGAAGTCCCAGGACGATTCTATTAAATAAAAAGCCATGAATGCCACCATGAGTGCGGTTAACAACGCTCCAGGGACGCCAACTAGTAAAATCTGAGGGATACTCCTCCAAAACGAGTGCGCATCAACACTGTACGACGTCCGAAATATCATTACTGGTAGGAAAGCTACGAGCAAAATGTTGACGTCCATAAAACAGACTTGGACTATCGGTTTGACGCTGGGATATCTATTGGCACAGAAACCAGCGAACCCTCCGAGAGTGAACATCACCACTCTGTACGGTATGCACATGCCTAGACGCAGCATTATGGCCCTCACGATCACTCCTATAAGGAGAGTCATGAAGATGAACAGGTACCCAAGGGAGGTTGGGTAGGCTATGGTAGGGCGTCCGCGGTCCTTCAAACGCACGCCTTCCTCCGAAGAGTTGAGGAACTTCCCTGATAGAATTACATCTTCATCATCCAGTTGTCCATTTGTGGTTGTTATTAAAAAAAGAAATAGTAAAGATATCTTGTTGAACGACATTTTTTCCGTGGCTGTATAGATTTTGAGTGATACTGGCGTCCGTAAGGTGCGTGTTTTGTGTATTTACCAAAGTAATAAATACTTTTTAGTATGATTGGAAAAGATTTGCTAAAATATGTTCTAATAATATTTACATTATTGATTGAAAAATTTAATAAATGAATGTTCTTAGAGAATAGTCAAGTTCACTATTTTCGAATATAATTCATTTGAAACAATGAAATTAAAAAAAGTAAGCCAGTAGTAAAATAAAAAGCGCTCAATACTAAATTAAAATTATAATTACGAAAACTAACTTAAAAATACAATACATTCCTTTCTTATAAAAAAAACAAACAAAAAACGTCAATTCATTACTTAAAAAAACAAATCGGAGTCGAAATAAATTATAAATAAAAAAAGTACATTTTAAATCATAAATCTAGAGGGAACAATAATCTTACGCCATTTGTCTTGACAGGACTTTTGTAGGGGGCAAACTTCTGTGGGGTCTTTCGAGGCGACTTTCTGGGGGTCACATTTTTTTTCTCAATTTTCTCCAATTCTTTTAATTCTTTGTACGCAGCCTCTAACATACGTTTCTTCCAGTCTTCATACGGCTCTATTTTATCTTCAAACACTTCTTCAACCTTAGGCATATCAATCTCCATCAATTCTTCATTTTCAACTGAAAAAATGCGAAAAAAACACGTTAAAAAATTATTTTTCAGGATATTTTCGTTAAATCAACAAATAAATGTCTTATTAAAGGTTTTGCAAGGTAATAAATAAACATAAATAGTAAAAAATATTTGACAGCGGTGGGATTCGAACCCACGCCCTTTCGGACTGGTGCCTAAAACCAGCGCCTTAGACCACTCGGCCACGCTGCCTACATTGAAATAGGCTGAATTTAGCGACGATGTAATAATGGTAAGAATAAATTATAACTTAACACTTTTCTTTCTTGCAGGTGGTAAGTAGAGGTGCATTGTTCAAAGTCCATAAGCGTAATCTTTTTGTTAATAATGTTACGAATCCTATGTAATAAGACGATAAACTTACTGGCACAAATTGAGACTCAAAAAAGGTTCAATATTTTAAGTTCAGGGACTGAAAAGTTATTCAGACATATTTTAATAGACAGCCATAATTTTATTTTTAATGCCCCTTTCAATTTCCCTTTCTCAGTAGCTGTGCTGGCCAAAGCAATATTTATTATGATACATATTTACGATAAAATGCATTACGTTGTATTTTTTATTAAAATTTGGTTGTTTCCAGGGTATCAAAATTAAAAATCTAATTAGTCCGTCAGTTAGATAATGAAAAAATATTAGACACGTATTTTTTTTATTTTCTCGTATTAAGTTGCAATACTTAGATAAAATGGCGCTCAGTTTAGGAGTGGGGGTCGTTACGTCATAACGTGCTACAAAATGTGGCACGCTGTGACGTCACACGATATTTAAAATTAATATATCGTCGAAAGTAATTATTTTTGTGAGAAAAGAAAAAATACTTGTCTAAAGTTTTAAATTATTGTACCAGACGGACATTAAAAGAAAATTTAGGAAACTACCTCATATACAGGCAGGAATTAATGTATTAGTTATACTTTTTTTTTTAGGGGGGAAAATCATCGAATGACTGCTCCCGCCTGGATGAGGCGGAAGGGAGTCTCAGACTCTTACTGACTAAAAACCACCCCGTTCCTTCTCCTGCACGTCGAGCCGGAGCCCCGGTTACCCGTTAGGTTCTCCGCGACATGTATTAGTTATGCTAGGTTCTTTATTTACCGGTTTCTGTAGATTTCTTAGTTTGTCGTCCCTTTTTCTTGGCTGCCTCGAAGTGCAGGTCAGTGAACTTTGTCCAGTCAGCATCCAGCTTGGTCCACTGTGCAGGCTTCAGTCTTGACTTCTCAATTACTTTACTCTTTGCTACTTTCACTTTACTCAGCCTGGAAATGTTTAATGAATAATTAAATTAGTTGTTTTAAAAATGTTAAATAGTTTTGTCATTTCATAACAAGGGAAGATATAAAATTGGGTTTCTCTATTTATTTAGGGCGTGGGTGAGTTATTGTTCAGTAGAATGCTGTCTTGACCACTCTAGCGACGTTTGTTAGAAAGTAAACCGACGTTTGCTCCCCTATCGGAAAGCCACAAAAATATCCGAAATAGGTTTCCGTATGCGATACTAGATTACTTGAACATCTACTCATAAAAAATTTATCATAATCACTAAAGAGTATAAAACAAAGTCGCTATCTGCCGTCTGTCTGTCCCTATGTATGCTTAGATCTTTAAAACTACTTTTAAGTGTGGGAGAGCCATGCTTCGGCACAAATGGGCCGGCTCGACCGGAGTGATACCACCGCCTCACAGAAAACCGACGTGAAGCAACGCTTGCGTTGTGTTTCGTCGTGTGAGTGAGGTTACCGAAGGCCCAATTACCCCTCCCCTTCCCCAATCTCTCCAATCCCTGAATCCCCAACGATCCTCAAACTCCTAATTCCGAAAAGCCCGGTAACGCACTTGTAACGCCACTAGCGTTCCATGGACGACGCCGATTGCTCACCATCAGGTGATCCGTCTGCTCGTTTACCGGCTTATGCCATAAAAAAACTACGCAACGGATTTTGCTGCGGTTTTTTTTAAACGTTTTTTTTTTTTTGTTTAATAGATAGTGATTTAAGGAAGGTTTATAATTATGTATAATACATGAATATTGAACCCGTGCGAAGCCGGGGCGGGTCGCTAGTTATATATAAAGTATTATTTATTCCTCTTACCTGCAAGCTTGATAAACAGCCATACAGACATATTGAGGAAGATTCAGATCCACTTCCTGAAAACATTAAAAAAAATGTTATTCGCTATACAATACAAGAATACAACACACGATGTCTTTAGAGTTGCAGACTGTAGTAACCATTTACAATCAGAGGGCTTACTTACTTACTCTTGAATCCAATTCCGATCTATCAACATTGGTATTGTGAAATATCGTACTCTTGAGTCGCAACACTAGCGCCCATTGCATCCGTATTGCATGGATATTGAATGAACCAAATGGTATTGAGGCTGGCTTCATAAACAGCTACGATTTGGGTTGTATAGTTTTGACATTGAATAATTATAGAGTTTTTATTGGATTGAAATTGCATTGACATTAAGATTGGTTTCAAGAGTAAGCACCATGATGGCCAATAAAGTATTATAAAAGAAACTAAAGTATTAACTGATGACTGTTAATGAAGCGAAAGAGGTATGTAAGAATCGTGGTAATTGGCGTTCCTTAGTCTCTGCCTACCCCCATGGGAGACAGGCGTGAAGTTATGTATGTATGTATGTAAAGTATTAACTATTTTATTTATTAGTCAGGTGGTCGCAAGTGCAACTGCCGAGTAACTGTTGAGTCTTTTTATTGTATGTAGTGACCATGGACTGGTAGAAGTCGCTTGGACTCTTACTAGATGGACCGACAACATCATCAGAATTGTTGGAAGTCAATGAAAGTATCTGGCGAGATGTCGTTTGCCATGGAGGACTAAGAAGGAAGCCTATGTTCAGTAGTATAGGTACATCTTTGTGCTGATAATGTGAATGTAAAGTAACCGATATATTATACTAGCTACTTCCGCGCGGTTTCACACGCTCTACAAAAGCTCCTATTGGTCGTAGCGTGATGTTTTATAGCCTATAGCCACCCTCGATAAATGCGCTATCCAACACAAAAAGAATTATTCAAATCCGACTTTTAGTTACGGAGATTAGCGCGTTCAAACAAACAAACAAAAAAACAAACTCTTCAGCTTTATAACATTAGTGTACCTTCTAGATATAAAAGAAAGTCGTGTTAGTTACACTATTTATAACTCAAGAACGGTTTAATCGATTTTGATGAAAATTGGTGGGAAGGTAGCTTAGATCCAGGCGACGGCCATAAGATACTTTTTATCTGATTCTTTTTATTGAAAATCACGAACGGGAACGGGAAAAAACATCGATTGCGCGTTCGAAGTAGCGCGCAGAAGAAGTAATAAATAAAAGCTCACCACTTTAGCCAGTCGCTGGTACTCTGCGAGTATCCTGTCAGCTAGCTCCTGCACTCCGGTGCACTGCAGCGTGAGACACAGCATGGTGGTGCTCAGCCTGTCACTGTTCAGCTCAAGAAGATTCTGCACCACTTTCTTTGTGTTGGTGTAAGTTGAAGTCTTCAGTCCTGAGTATTTTACTGCTGATTTCTGTAATGTATGGATGATGGATTTATTATATGGATATATGGTTTTCGAACATCATCATCAACAGCCTATAAGTCTGGCCACTGCTGACCTAAGGCCTTTTCTCACACGGAGAAGGTTTGAGCATTCATCGGACGAGAGCATTTTAAGTGTGGGAGAGCCATGCTTCGGTACGAATAGGCCGGCTCGACTGGAATGATACCACGGCCTCGCAGAAAACCGACGTGAAGCAACGCTTGCGTCGTGTTTCGTTGTGTGAGTAAGGTTATCGGAGGCCCAATTAGGCCGGAGGCCCTCCCCTTCCCCAATCTCCCCAATTCCTGAATCCCCAGAAAGGCCGGTTACGCACTTGTAACGCCTCTGGTGTTCCAGGTGTCCATAAGCGACGCCGATTGCTTACCATCAGGTGATAAGTTTGCTTGTTTACCAGCTTTTCCCATAAAAAAATCAATTGTTTTGGGCATATTTATTTTAAGTTTTATGTCTAGCAACAATGATCTAATGACAATGGATGTTTATTGTATCATACTTTTTTTTAAGGGCGGAAAATCATCGAATGACTGCTCCCGCCCGGGTGAGACGGGAGAGAGAGTCAGTATCTTACTGACTAAAAACCACCCCATTCCTTCTCCTGCACGTCGAGCCGGAGCCCTGGTAACCCGTTAGGTTCTCCGCGACTATTGTATCATACTAGCTGTCCCACTGTAACTTTCAGCTCCATATTATATGTACCACTTACAATATCTAAATCAGCTCCTAGAACGCCAGCAGCCAAGTCTAGGCAGATGACAATTTTACTGGTGTCAGTTATATTGCTGCCTGCCATGTTCTTTGTCTGGAGCAGTCTCTCAAACTCTGCGGCTTTCCTGTAATCATGTACAAGACAGATGTGAGACAGATGGTGATTATCTGTACTCAATGATATAAATGTGCAAGTGTGGGAGGGCCATGCTTCGGCACGAATGTGCCGGCTCGACGGGAGTGATACCACAGCGTCGTAGAAAACTGACGTGAAAAAAGGCTTGCATTGTGTTTTGTCAAGTGAGTAAGGTTACTGGAAGCCCAATTACTCCCACCCTCCCCAATCCCTGAATCGCCAACAATCCTCAAATTCCTAATCCCCAAAAGCCCGTAACGATCTTCGAACTCCAGAGTTCCAAGTGTCCACGGGTAACTCTGATTACTTACCATCAGGTGAACCGCCTGGTTGTTGACTACCTTATCCCATAAAAAAAAACTGTTAAGACCATATTCTGTTTATGTTTCTTTCTTGTTTCAAGAATTTATTGTAATATTTCTGTATTAGGAGAGTGATATATATCTTCTTTGAACGCAGTCAGGAAGTTAGTAGTAACATAATAATTCTAATAAGTAATTGTAATTACACATTATTTTGGTTAAATTCTGTTATAGGCAATTAGCATTAAGAACCATGGTAAATGAGACCCATAATGTAACTGGGGAAAAGTTTGTGTCATATTGCAAATAGGTATCTCTGCATACCATTTGGGAAATTAGAAGGTGTGATGTTATATTACAGTTACAAAACTTTTTAAAGGTCTTTAATCTCAGAAAAATATCATGCCTTCATTAAAGAAAGTGTCTACGTAATCGGGCATCCTATGCTATGGTATTAGCTGTCTACATACATTATCTAGTGGGATTTCCAGCGTGTTTAATGAGCAATTATATCGAGAAATAACCTAACAAATAACTTTACAGATCTATATTCTATAGCAGTATTCCTGTTGTAGATATTAGTAGAAAGTAATTAAGAACTTATTATCTGTGTGATAAAAATCTAATTGTGTTATTTTAAAAGGAGTTTTCATTCTAATCGTAGTGGTCTTGTTTACTAACTTTAAAACTTTATCTTCTTCACCCAAACCCAGTTTGCTCGCAATCAGGTACAAAGTTTTGTTGTTAGACGCCATTGTTTTTATTTATTACACACACTTAGACTATAAATTCACTATTATCGTCACAAAATAAATTAAATTCACAATAAATTCATGCCACAACAAAGCGCGCCATTTGAATGGTTTTTGACGTTTCGTAAGATCCAAATCCAATCCGATGAAACCATTCAATCAGCTGTCATTGTCAGATGATTAAATTCATTCAAGATCATTCATTCCTCTTTAGCATAGACAAGAGGGGAGGGAGAGGGAAAATCCTAGTGATGTAGCGTGAAAATTCAATAAAAATGTACATGTGCTTTTTGACCATGAAATTATTAATTTTTGAAATGAATAAAATTCTATTACCCTGCAATGTAATAATTTTAATGAACTAAGGTAATATTGCAGTGAAAACTTAAGTATTATTTTGAAATGTAAGATATTAAAAAACAGTGAATAGTCGACTAAAACTTAGTTAATTTCCTATTCTAGATTATTTTCTATATATTTCTTTAACTGATGTGTATTTATGAATAAAAATACAATTTTCGATGCATTTCGGTGCTGAAATAGGTAGAAATGATTTTTTTTTCAGAAATATGCAGGACCTGACATTGTTTATCTCTGTCGTTCATGGTCGGAAAATCTTCTCGATTCTCGATGACCACGCCCCTTTATCTCGATTTTGACTGAAGTTTCAATGATAAAACACCTTGCAATATCACAGGAGGCGACATGTTGATTTTTTTCTATAGGTTCTGTGAAGCCGATACGGATCGCTGTCATTGCTACAAAATGTCTTTGTAGTTATCAGGGTGTAGGTCATATAATTGTAGTAATATTAACTAATCCGTGCTAATTTTCATATGTTAAACGTATCGTAAAGAGAAAGAAGAGGATCCACTCCGCCCGAATCAGGGGTGTGTATTGAGTGATACATCGATATAGATTTGTATCAAAATAATCCGAAGCTATTTATAAATATTATTTTCTCAGCTTTTACTTATGTTCAAACGTTAATAGTAACGTCTGATCTATAATTAACTTGTGAAAGTTTATAAATATTACAGTATTCCATGGTGAAGTAGTGAGGCGACGCGGTTATTAGTGGCAAAGGTTGCCATTTTTTTAGTGGGATATAATCGTGTGTGGTGATATCAGGGCGTGATCTCAGTGCTCCAAGTTGCTTTGAGTCCGGTCGGGGGCAGTGTGAGTGCACGGCCGCAGTGTTCTGGTGCCCGCGCGACCCGCGAGCTTGATACGAGACTAAGGTAGTGTGCTGTGGTGGTTTTACAGGTTGAGATGCAACTAGTGTCAGTGAGCTCGAGGTAATAGCAGTGCGTGTTGTGGTCGTGGTGACGTGATGATGCGGTCGCAGTGAGGGGGCAGAGCGACACCACGGCTTCGTCAGTGGCGGGCGGCGCGCGGGGAGCCGAGTCTCCTTCGCAGCCCAACCAAGACACGGTGGACAACGCCACACCCACCTGCTGGTGAGTCCCACCACCTTCTACTAGCACCAAAAAGTTTTGCCACCAAGGAGTTTTGTTGCTCATTCATATTCCTTGGCAGTCAAGTGAGCTGTCAGCCTATACAGCTTCAAATGTCATAGAAATACCTAGAATAGACAACAGCACAACAATAAGCTACTTCAAGACAATAATTATCTTGAAGTGTACTGTACCTAATTATTCTACCTACTACTTCATTTTCAATAACATTTTTGCTAAAAACACAAATTTTCTCATTACCATACTTATCATTCTAACATTTATCTATCTAAACTCAAGCTATGAAATATTACAATATTCTTGACTCATTCTGCCTCTTCCCTAACTGTTAACATTGTATTTTCCTCATGAATCTTGTCTATTTAGGTTAGTGGTAAAACCAATTAGAATACCTTAAGTGGCTGTATTACTATTTCATAACCTTTACATTGACAATGAATAGTAATTATAAAATCGTCCTTAGATTAAATTGATTACCGTGAATGTCATACAAAATTATTGTCAGTTAGAACTTCAATGAACAAAGTAACTGGCCGGCTCTGCTTGCTTTAAGTGTATCTGTGTTCAGACTGTTTTAAAAAAGAATGCATTCAAAATCTTGTTCCTTTTTTAAAATCTTTTTATTTTTCTTACTAGTTTTGTTACATATCTCTTGCCAAAATGGAGTTGTTAAATTATGTTATTGAATAGGACTTTAATGATATTTCAATTTTTTTATTTTATATAAAAATAAATACACTATAATATAGACAAATATAGACACATAGATACGTATTCAAAACTTAATGAGTGGAACAAGTAAGCTTTGATCAAATTATTTTATGCTTTAGTATGTAGTTAAATTATTATTTAAAAATTCCAAGCAGACATTAACATTTTTAATTTAAATAGCTAATTTACATAAACAAAGTGATCTCAATTGCAGTAGATTTTATTACATTTTTTATACCTACTTATTAAAATTATTCTATAATGGACAGTTTCTTATATGTACCCAAATATGTACACATAATATTGACATATAAATAATATTATTAATACTATGCCTTACATATATGTACAAATTGTCACGCCTGTCTCCTATTGAGGTAGGCAGAGACAACAGATGAAAAATGATATTATGATTCTGACATACTTATTTGAAGTTCGCAGTTCAAAATTTTGCTATATCAGGGACTGCTGCTGCCCAGTCTCTGTTGAATATTTATTTATTCTACTTACATATGTAGTGCCTTAAATGGCTCTTATTGGTATATTCCAAAGTTCTCTAATGAATAAATAATTATTTAACAGGAAATTGGACCTAACTTAATAGGGACAAAGCAATGAGCAAAAATTAATGTCATACATTGTCTACCCAATTATTTAGAGAATTCAATGTTTGAGGAAAAACATATCATTATTATTATTGACAATATTACATTATTAAAACAAATAATTGAAACATTTTAACATTTTATTGACTAGTTAAATAATATTAAAATAAATGTATCAAAGTGACTCAAATCCAAGGTCTCATGCAATGTATCTATTCTAGGGTAACATGGCTCTTTTTTCTCTTTTTTGTCCTTACTAATATGGACATTATATTACATTAAAAAAAAAAACAAAATAACAATGTCTATGGTACCTACACCATTTTTGTTTATAATTTTTTTTCAAGTTATAGAAACTGTTTGTTTAATTAAGGAACATGCATAATGCTATTTGTTTTTTTATGCTGGCATTCTATTCTACAAGATAGAAATTTAGGTGTAGTTAACATTGAGGAAGAAAAAAAAGGCTTTTTTGAGACATAATTACTAACTTATCTTTTAGTTTTGTATTTTGACATGATTCTTCTTCTACATATATGGTAATTTCATTTATCTTAATTATGGTAATGTGTTCATGAAACATACAGAAACATGTAGATCCCTTCTATCTAACCAGTTGATCTGGTAATAATTTAGAGGTATGAGTATAATATAATAGTGAATGTCTTGTTGCGTATATGATGATGACAAATGTTATAATTTAAACAATCTCAAAAAAAATCTATTTACATACAAATAATTAGCATTTAAGTTTAGGCTTTTTTTAAGGGGGGGGTGAAATGATCATAAAATTTGTATGACTAGTCCACCATGGGTGAGGCGAGAGGAAGAATTAGACTCTTACTGGGCAACAATGCAATAGTTTTTGGTAATAGTTAAAGTTACTAAATCGTAAGTAAGTGACATACTCATCATACACCGCATCATTACTTACCACTAACAAAATAAAAAACGTAGGTACTTAGGTAGAACTTAGGCATATATAACAGCTTTCAATTTTCTTCCAAGAACTATTACCACAACAATAAATTGTTTTTGTTTTTAACATTGATTAGTAAACAATGGAGTACTAAGGTTGACATATAAAACGTAATAATATATAACCACAAAAGGCGATGATGGGTTACATAGTTGACTCTATGACGTACTATGACGTATGACGGCGATAGTCCTTGCTATGACTAACTACTTTTAACTTCTAAATAGGAACCTAAGTTACTGATAAAGTTTCAGTAGCTGTTATTCAAAACTTAGGGAAGGTGAAAGGATATTTAATCTTAATGGCGTTCAGGAATTTTATATAATTTAGGTAGTTATTTGAACTAGATAGATAGATTCTATGAATCTATCTAGTTATTTGATTATTTGTGGGTTGAAAGGTTTTAAACCTTTGCTGTGTTGGATTAAGGTTGCAATTTAAGATGTAGTTTAATATTTTTCAAGCTGTGTCTAAAAAAAATGTATATTTTTTTTTAATTATGAATTACAGTGAAGTGGTCTACTCTACACACTAGCAATATAACTAAAACATAGACTTTTTTTAATAGGTAGAGGCTATAGTACCTATAATTAAAATTAAAAAATATTGCCGACATTAGAGATGGTTCACATAACTTCACGCCTTTTATCCCCGAAGGTGTAGGCAGAAGTGCACATTACGGCACTTAATGTCACTGTACAATGTAACACCCACTTTTCACTATTTTATATTATGAGTCCCATGTAATACCGGGCTTACATCCTCTAGAGTCTAGACACACTGTGCTACTACTGAAATTTTTTGAAAAACCCAGTAATACTATGCCCGACCCGGGAACCCGGGAATCTAACCCGAGACCCCTTGCCCGGCAATTGCACTTGCGACCACTCCGCCAACGAGGCAGTCAGAGGTGGTTTAGTTATCTAGTAAATGATGGTACAGAAGGTCCACTGGTGTTACAGGTGTCCATGGGCGGCGGTGATCGCTTACCATCAGGTGATCCGTCTGCCAGTTCGCCCCCTAAAATTAAAAAAAAACTTAACAGTGTAGTACTCCTTTTATTATATAACAGTGCTATAAATAACCTCTATACTTATACATATATAATACAGTGGGTGTATATCAGCTGTGTGTCCTCCCACACACACATGGACATTTATAAGATTATTACTATACATACTTTTATGGTGTTCACAGTGATATTGTCACCGGTTTTCTAGTAAATATTAT